TGTGTCGGGAAGGTGAGCATCATAGAATGCCAATTTACTAGAAGAAAGTATTCTTGTGTTGAGGGAGTACTTGAGTGGAGGCCCAATGTCCTTCTCAAAATAGCCCCTTTTTATGGGCGCAGACAACCTCATCTTTCTCCCTCAGAGCTGCTGGTGGATTTGAACCACTGACTCTGTTGTTAGCAGCCCCATGGTTATCCAAGTCATAGTGACCCTATAGAGCAAAACAGCAGAATGGCCTCTGTGAGTTTCGGAGGCTGTAAATCTTTACTGGAGCAGAAAGCCTCCTCTTTCCCCTATGGATCTGCTGGTGGTTTCAAACTGCTGACCCTGTGGTTAGCTGCCCATCTAGTAAGTCATTATGCCAGAGGGGGCCTCACAGGGCCACTCTATTAGCTTAATTAGTAAAGAATGTTTGCCTTGAGTATTATGCTCTTTTAAATAGCCATCTATGTGGGATCAAATTAGTAACTAAATGATGTCCAGGGACTTGTCCCTACTGGTAACAGGGGAATTATTCAGAGTGGCCCAAAGGCTCCTCTTTCTGAAAGCCCAGGGCTTCTCTCTCTCTCTCTCTCTCCATCCTCGCTGCTCCACCAGTCATGCCGGAGACTTGGCTGTTGCCCCTGGACACTGTTGGCTGCAAGTGCCCTTACCCTCCCCCTCTGCCTTCAGGCTAAACGGCCTATTTACTGGCCTTGTCCTGAGCAGGGAACCAGGGAGGTGGCAATATGAGGTTATTGCCACCTTGTTTCTGTCCTTTAGGAATCTTCGTGTGTGTGTGCGTGTGCGTGTGCGTGCGTGCGTGCGTGTGTGACTAATGAAATCCTGCCCCTTGTTCCCAAGTGTTTGTGTACTCATCTATCTTCTCGTGTACTACCTTACCCATTGGGCTCCCAAAGTGAGGCCCAGGTGGCTAGGGGCCAGGCTGAGGGTTGAGGGTTGCCAGATGGGGAGAGAGCAGCGGTTGGCCAAGTCTCTGGTTGTTGGTTGTGGCCACCAGAGCCCGCAGAAGGGTTTGGGAGAGCTGGGGGGAGAGTGGCTATTCCCTCCTAAAATTACGAGTTGGGCTGTGATCCTCAGGGTTCGCAGTTGGAAACCACCAGGGACTCACTGTGAGTCAACAATGATTTGATTGAAGGCAATGAATTTGGTTGGGGATTTGGATACCTCGACTGCTCCAGGTCCTTGAACCTCCTGTCTTCAGACGAAATGCTGATCCCAGGAACAGATGGGGTCGGGACATCCTAAGCCTCTGCTTCATCGGCATCTTTCTCTTCCAGCAACGCGACCTATGTTGGCACCCCCCATTGTCAGCTCTGAGCTTCGGGAAGGCAGGAGCTGAGTCGGGCTCACCAGTGTCCCCGGAACTGGCACACTTACTGTGTGCCTGGTGCTTCCAAACGCCTTGTCTGTTTCCATTTCATTTCACAACCTTTCCTCCCTGGGGTGGGTTACTGCTATTATCATCCCGCTTTAGAGTAGAGGAAACTGAGACGGAGATAACCAGCTCAAGGTCACACCGTTTGTAAATAATCAGACTAGGAATGTAAACCTGACTCAAACCGGTTTCCTTAAACTCCCTGCCAAACTGTTTAGATGATTGATAAAGTTTTGTTGAATGAAAAAAAAAAAAGGAGTCTCTTCAAAGCCGAGAGGCGTTCTGAAACTACATTTCCCAGAAGCTCCCGCAAGCGGAGACGCGGCGCAGGTTTTGGTCGTACTTCCGTGCCCTTTATACGCACTTCCGCCCATGTGCCCCTTCCTTTCCTTTCGGCGGCGCGCGACGCAAGATGGCGGTGCAGATTTCCAAGAAGAGGAAGGTGAGGCGCTGGGGCCGAGTCCGGGAAACTGAGGCATCGTGCGCGCGCGAGGCCTCTCGAAGTGTCACCCTGAGGTTCGCAGCTCTGTGCGCCGCCCGAGGAGGCGGCTGGAAATGCGGGGCGCCCCCGCGGGTGGTGGATGGCTCTGGATTGAGTGGGCCCCGCTCGGGCGAGCGAGGCGATGTGGCGCGGAGGCAGGGTGGCTGCTGGTTCCGGCCAGGGTGCAGACGTGAGCGGCCTTCCTCGCTAGTCCGCGTTTCTTCCCCCGTGGTATTTGGGGGCCGTGAGTAGTTCACTTGAGGTCCTGCACGGCGACTGGGGGAGGGGGAAATACTGCGCTGTATTCCTGCTTTCCTGATAACCTGCGTGGGTGCGCCTTCTGACTCGAACGATCTCACTTGGAAAGTTGTGATACTTGGTTTCATTGGGGACCCAAGGAAAAGTTGCCATGGCCGATGGAGGGAGATGTCCGCGGGGAAGAGGCTTCCCCAATGCCCGTCCCCCCCCTCCCCCCTGTGGAGAACAGCATTAGCCCATTTGCTCTAGGAATAGAACTGCTGTGATGCGTCGTTGAAAGTTAAGCACCTTTGTGAGGTAGCATGGGCCGGCTCTGTAGTAGATAGGACCCAGGTTAAGGAAAGCAATCTAACAAGACAGGCTTCTCATGGGCCGAATGATGGCTGAGCCAGGCAGGCTCCCACCCTGCACGGAGATCTGACCCTTTCACGCACCCAAGCGTGTTGCCCCTCTGCGCCCAGTGAATGGGGTGTGTGTGAATGTGCCGTTTTAGAGCGTGGACGAGTCGAAAGCCCTTCCGTGAAGAGATGATGACGAGTCTGATGGGAGGTGTTGCCTTTGTCCAGGCGGCTTACTCTGTGCTGCGTTCTGTGGCTCAGTGTCAAGGGTCCTGGGTCAGAGTAACTTCCTAAAGATGACTTAGAGGCATTTGTCTGAGAAGGGTTGTCAGTACGTTGGTTGGGACCAATGATGAGTTGTTGGCCTCGTGGGTTGGGATCTGACCGGAAGGCAGGTCAGTCTTGGGTTATACAGATGGAAATGGGCCTTGCCCCATGTCCTCATTTTGAACTTTGCTTTTGGGTTAGTTTGTCGCAGATGGCATCTTCAAAGCCGAGCTGAATGAATTTCTCACCCGGGAGCTAGCTGAAGATGGTTACTCTGGGGTTGAAGTTCGAGTTACACCAACCAGGACAGAAATCATTATCCTAGCCACCAGGTAAGACCTCACGAAAATTCATGTCACCGGAATTTTAGCATGCTTCTGACAGGTAGAGTTCACTGCCACACTTGTGCAAACTGTGACCTATCACTTTCCTCCCCCAGGACGCAGAATGTTCTTGGTGAGAAGGGTCGCAGGATCCGAGAGTTGACTGCTGTCGTTCAGAAGAGATTTGGCTTCCCTGAGGGCAGTGTGGAGGTGAATCCTTTTTAGCTTTGGCCAGTGATTGCTGGGGACCCGAAATGGCTCTTCTGGGAGCCCTATAGAGAGGGCCCATTACATGAGTGGGTGGCAGCGGGGTTTTTTGTTGTTAACATGTATTTTACATTCAACACGGGGATCTCGTGAGCTGCCTTGTACATGTTAGTGACACGTAGGATGTCATAGTGTGTGGCTGAGATGGGTAGGTGGGGGGAGGGCAAGGTATAATCCCACCTGTGCTACTGAGAGTGGGTACTAGACAGGGAGAAAGATGCTGGTGTGCTAAGAACTGAAACCGTGTAAATGTGTTGGTTTAATGGGAAACAATGCAGAGACGCAAGATTACAGGTGCGCCTTGTTTCCTTTAAAGCTTTATGCTGAAAAGGTGGCCACGAGGGGCCTGTGTGCCATTGCCCAGGCAGAGTCCCTGCGCTACAAACTGCTCGGCGGGCTCGCTGTGCGGAGGTGAGTGTCTCTTGCCTTTTAATGTTTTTTGTGGATCAGGACGTACTGGTGTGTCTGCCATTTTGTTAATCCAGCCGATGAGTCCTTTGTTGCGGGCTCTGATTGCTGGTCTTTGGGGACTGTCACAATAAGATAGTGCCAGTTCATGCCCTCACTTGGCATGGGTTGGCAGTAATGAGTAGTCAGTGCTGCCTGGGGCTCTGTTCTAGGTGGCTTGGGAGTGGACCAGAAGTAAAGCTCCCAGGGAGGAGGGGCTGGTTTCCTTAGTGAAGCTGTGGAAGCAGGCTGGGGGTGGGGGGTGAAGGTGGGCAATGCCTGGGTTCATGCAACTCAGAAGAAACTAGAAGTCAGTCGGATCTGCTGTGGACTGTAGTTACGACATTTTTGATCTGAGCAACCAGACTTCCCTGTGGGTAAGGAGACGGGTGAGTTGGGAAGGAGGAGCTGGCCCGTATATGCACATGATTGCTGTAGGGCGTGTGGTCTGGCCATCAAGTGAGAATTTTATTTCACCCAGACCCACAGAATCAGAACTAGCAACCTGACCTCTGAGTCCCTTTAGGGTGATGGCAGAGTTTAATAGTGTGCTTTACTAAATAATTTGTATTGACAGTGGCAGCACCTTCCTCGGGTTTGTGACTAATGGGTACAAACCCAAGTTGGGGGTGTATAGCCAGTTCTCCGCCTTAGTGTCTAGAATTCCCCCCAGCACTCCAGCATCAAGGCACCCAATCTGAAGCCTGAGGCGAATAAAGACTCATTTCAGTAGTACATCAGGGGCAAACTGCTGAAAGCAACCCGCTCGTTCTGTCTTCAGAGCTGGACTGGAATAAAGCAAACTGGCTGTCCACTAGACATTGGACTTTCACCTTTGGTTGCATGGTCAGCAGTTCAAACTCACCGGGACCTCAGCCTGGGAAAGATGAGGCTCTGCCCTGTGGAGTTGCTGTGCACTGGAATCAGCGCTGCAGTGGTCAGCTTGACTTTAAGACACATTGGGGAGTTTTTAATGCCTGGTCCTGGGCTGTGCTGGTGTGACTGGTCCAGAGTAGGGCCCAGGCAATGGTTTTCTTGTTTGTTTGGGGTTTTTTAATCATTATTATTGGGGGCTCGTACAACTCTTACCACAATCCATTCCATCCATCCATCGTGTCAAGCATGATTTTCTTGTTCTTAATTGCCTTGAAGTAATCCTACTGTGAGGGGGCTTTAAAAGATGACCGGGAAAGTGGGATTAAGAGATAGGTCAGTGGCATTTTTTTTTCCCCGTGAGTTTTTTGAAGCCTCGCCTGCACCGGAGGTTAGGAGTTTAACCTTCCTGTTCTAAGGGATTAGCGTTAGATTCTATATGATTGGAATAGAGATAGAGGTTGATCTTGGGTTGGGCTGTTCAACTTTGTTCTTAACTAAAGGAATGTTAAAACCAGCTGTGTGACCTAAAATTTTTTGTGGGGGAACCTGCATCTGGCGAAGATGGGCTGGTTGTGATCACGTGAGTGGATCTCTCGCAGGGCCTGCTATGGCGTGCTGCGGTTCATCATGGAGAGCGGGGCCAAGGGCTGCGAGGTCGTGGTGTCCGGGAAACTCCGAGGACAGAGGGCCAAATCGATGAAGTTCGTGGATGGCCTCATGATCCACAGCGGGGACCCTGTTAACTACTACGTTGACACGGCTGTGCGCCATGTGCTGCTCAGGCAGGGTGAGCGGCTGGGGGCTTTCTCAGTGCCATGTGTTGTTGTCCAAATTTGTGGGGTAGCCGGCTTCTGCCCGAACTTTGATTGTGCTTGTCCCTTGCCTGGGCCACCTGCGTGCCTTCGGTGATGACACGATGACGAGTCAGAAAGGCCACCTCCTGCTCTTGGTGCTGGTCAGTGCCACGTTCTGTGGTCCTGGCCATCGCTCTTTTGCTGAGGTTTCCTGTTCGTTGGTGATCTAGAGGCATTTGTCTGAGAAGGCACTAGTTCCAAGGGGCTCTTTTCCTCCTGTGCTGTTGAGGGTGGGGGTGAGGGAGCTGAGGGAACCCCGCTGGGTCCTTAACTTTGGTGTGTCCTCTAGGTGTGCTGGGCATCAAAGTGAAGATCATGCTGCCCTGGGACCCAAGTGGTAAGATTGGCCCTAAGAAGCCCCTGCCTGACCATGTGAGCATTGTGGAACCCAAGGATGAAATCCTGCCCACCACGCCCATCTCTGAGCAGAAGGGTGGGAAGCCAGAGCCACCAGCCATGCCTCAGCCAGTCCCCACTGCCTAACAGGTATGATATGTCTGGGGCCTCTTGGCAGAATAAGGGCCCTGTCCCCTTGTCGTTAATTATGCTGTGGTGTAACCACTTAGATAAAAACTTGATTACACTTGCTTCTCGTGGGAGAGCTCACACTGGGGCCCGTCAGGACAAACCCTCCTTGTCCTAGTGATTAGCTGTTCCCCAGCAGCCACCTGGATGGACAAGAGTCGCTTGTCCTGTGCAACCCAGAGTGGGAGTCTGCTCCTTTGACCGCACACGCACTAAGGAACCTGCTGTTCATGGGAGTTACTGTTGTGTCTTCTTTGTTTGCAGGGGCTTCTGGATCTGGCGTGTGGATGTTGCTCTGTAAAGAGCGTTAATAAACACTCTTTTAAAAGACATGTTGCCTGGCTTCATTGTGTCCAGCATTCAGACTGAAGCTCACCTTGACAGGTGTGAGCGTATATGCTTGTCTCGCCCTTGATTGGTTTTTAAATCTCTTGGTTTTAACCATAGTTTGCTTGACTGTCGAGGGCCAGTGCAGGGAGGACTTAGTTTAGCTTAACCATCTTTGGGGAATGATTTTACCTGATGAATAAAGAAGTACTGCACATAAATGTAATGGTGATTGTATTTGGGGGTCACACTGCCCTCTAGACATTCTATTAGAATCCTCAACATTCGAGTGCCCGGATCGTCTCCAGAGGTTGTCCACCCACTGGGTGTTCTGCTTATTGAGACAGGCTGTATGTGTTTGGCACGCAGGAAGGATGGGGTTAGCAGTGCACTAAGAACTGTAGTGTGTATAGTGACAAGCCTGCTTTGTCAGTGTTGTTGGAAGTAAGATCCCGCCCTTACTAGAAACACTTGTCTTGATAATGGACGTAATGGATCACTTAAAGACCCAGACTTCCAGGAGGTGGGAAGTTTCTCATGGCCAAGAACTAGACTCTTAAGTGCGTTCCTGACGCGGGAATGATCCTTTTTCCAGGTCCATGAGGTTCCTGGGAATGTTGGCCAGTGAGCTGGCTTTCAAGGTTCTGAGCAGGCTAGCTGAGTGAGCATAGAGGGCTTTTCTGAATGTCTGTTCCTCAGCCCACCTCCCTACAGTAGGCAGCTGTCAATAAGGCTGCTGCTACGGTGAGAACTGGGACTCCCTTGTGGGCAAAAATATTCCGTTTGTCATTTTCTTGGAAGTATTTTAGCTGAGCTGATCTACATTATGTTTTCCTACACAAGATCACATATTTCCAGCACCTACTACCCGAGCTGAACTAGTTTCATTAAAAGTCACTAGTTTTAAAGAGTAGCAGGTGCTGGACTTAGAGGTGATAACAGTCCTCCTAAGAGCTTGTCTGGTGCAGACCTTTGAAAAAGACAGAACAAGAAGACCAGTGCCTGGGACCTCCATGATTCTAACTCGAGGTGATCCATCCGTGGGGCAGCACTCCTCACAGTGGGGGCTTATGATTGCATCTTTCTGACCAACGCAAGGTAGCAGTACCCCACCCGAAGGGTTTCTGTTTTTCTCTGGAATGTTTGGTGGGTTTGAACCAAACAACCCACTATGCTACCAGCTTCTGCCTTTGGTCCGTTCTGATTCCCTGAGCCCGAGAGAGCAGGGTAGCAGTGTCCCAGTGGGTTTCCAAAGAGCTGGTGGCAGTTTCAAACTGCAGAAGTCAAGTCTGTTGGGTTGACCCAGAAGTGCTGTTAACACCATCAGCTCTGGTGCTTTAACAAAGGAGAGTTTTGCTTTTAGTTAACCAGCTGCAAATCCATCCAGCACCGCATAGAAGGAAGAGAACTTAAGGAGTAGTTCTTGGGGAAGGACAGTTTTCTACTTTGAAATCTAACTGCTGACAGTGGGTTTACAGAAAAGGGGTACGCAGAACAGGTGTTCACTTCTGCTAAGGCTGCTCGTTTCTATTTCAGAAAACAAATCTGCAGGCGGTTCTTGTGAGGGAGGCAAGGGCAGCTCACTGCAGAAGTTGTTCCCTAGTTGGGGCTGCTGGTAAAAGCAGCCACACGCCCCTGACAACAGTCTCCCTTGGCAGCCTGGCTCTTGGTGACATGGTCTGCTGTGGCCAGTGTCTTCTGGAAACAGCTTCCGGCTTCATGCAGGGTTCCAGACACTGCGATTGGCTAGAAAGCAGATGGAACTAGAGCAGCAGAGACAGGAGCGCCTTCAAGGGAAATGGGCTTGGCCAGTGCTTGAAGCTCCCAGCACACTCTCCCATAGACTGTACCTGCTCCCTCTGTCCCTGAGAATGACTGGTAGACCTATGCCCACTCCTTTTTGCACCTGCCACCCCCTAGTAACCTAGCAGTTTGCTGCTCTCTCTGCTGAATTGCCCCAATACCTAGGTCTACAGGCTCAAGCATCTGGACCTTAGCTCCTAGTGAGGGGGTTGCATGGTGCAGAACTCCAGGAAGGTCTGCTCAGTGAATAAGAACAGGTGTTCACCTCATCCTGGACACTTTTAGGTGGTTAAGTTAGTGTTAGGCTCAGATCTCTCTTGTGACCACAGTCTGCACTTAAACCAGGGCTAACCCCCAGTGCTAATATGAATGAAAGGACATTACTGCCCGCTGCTGTCAAGTTGATAGTGACTCTGACCCTGACCCTGTATTGGGTTTCCAAAATTATAAATCTTAATGGGAGTGTCCAAGGTGGCTGGTGGATTTGAACCTGCAACCTTGAGATTTGAAGTCCAATGTTAGGCCAACAGTGCCACCAGATGACTGACCCAGAGGGGTCTTAAGAAAGGCAGCCTGCTGACTTCGAGATCCTGCAGACAAACCATAACACTAGGGAGGGTTAAAGAACAGCACAGAGGTGGGTGGTAGTACAGCATGGGGATTACAAGTCAGTGACAGGGAACAGTATGACTTCAGTTCTGTGAAGAGACCCCAGAATAGGAAGATGCAGCCCCCTTGTCAGGGCCACATCCACCATGGACTGGAAGTCCCTTGTCAGGATTTTGGCTACACCCTTAACCTAGAATTTAACCTACTTGGGCCTCTGTTTCCTGCTCTGTAGAAGGGTAACAATAGTACTTAGATCAGGAGGACTGAGGGAGAGAAAGTAGGCGTATCATACATGAAGTGCTGTCTGGTGGGGCAGGCTTGGCCCTTCCCCGGGGCCCTGTGATTTCTCTCACTGGACCCTGCTTCCAGAGTGGGACCTTGAGTGAATGAGGAGAGATCTGCTCACTTGCAGTTCCCTGCACTCCGTGGAGCCCCTACAGGACAGTGAACTGGGCCCTGGGGTTCCCAGGGCTCAAAGTCGAGCGCTGCCTTATTCTGGGGAGCTGTGGGCAGGAGGTTTCAAACTGCCGGCCTTGTGGTTAGCCTGCTGCGAAGCTGTGAAATCTACTGTGCCATCAAATCAACCTGATGGTGTTTCTGGAGCTTACAAAGTGTTCTCAAAGCCAGGACACCTGCCAGAAGAGGGGTTAAGTAAGCATATTGGGGTGCATACTGCCCTCGGGCTCCTGCCATTCCCCATTCTCTTCACCTCTGCTCCCTCACCACCTCCTCCCACCACCACCACCAGTGAGGTCGGAGACCCAAGCTGAAAGAGCAAGAAGGCTGAGGGTCGGGGGTCACATGAAGCCTTTGTTTTCTCTCTGCCAGGGTTTCAGGTCCTCTAAGGATCTGATAGCCAATAAAATACAGATAACTGCATACTTATGCTAATTCTAACCCCCCTCCCCGCCCCTAATTTGTGATGCAGCAACATGGATGTTGGGTCTCACCACAGGGATCACGTGGGAGGATACTATGCTGAGGGAAGAACAAAACTGTCCAAGCCCCCACAATCGAATGGGTCCAAGGGGCTGTTGTGTAATTGAGGGGTAAAATTTAAAGAGACATCAGACAAGGTAAAGCATGCAAGTGCTCACCTGGACGGCCATGATCTCAGCAGCCAAGACCTCGCAGAGAGAGCTAATATATTTCTAACAGGCTTATATACACTCTAGGGGCATGCAAGCCCCTTACAGGTAACCACACATGTAACAAAGTGGGCTGTACCCTAACCCTAACCCTCAAGGTCCCTGAGTACATAGGAGGAGTAACCGAACAGTGCCCGGGGTCGGTAAGGGGGAGTAGCACATGTCTGCTCCTATAGTTCAAGCTGCCAGCTAGATGGTGTGTTAGACGGGGTTCTCTAGAGAAACAAAACCAGGACACAAGATTATATATGTGAGGATAGATGTATACAGCATGAAGGAATGTAACAGCTAATTAGTCCACATAGCAGTACAGAGGGCTCAGTTCAACTCACTTCTGTGGAACAATTAATATAGTGGAAGCCCTTCAACTCATGAGGGCTGCTGGGTTCAAGGTCAGGGAAGCAGACAGCTGAGTCTTCCGTTAAGCAATGCAAGCAGTCCAGCCACAGGCAGCAAACAGCAGGGCGGGTCACCAACAGTCAAGGTGACAGGATCTGACAGTCCCAAGCTCAAGCAATGTATCCACCAGAAGCGTGGTGAAGCAGGTCTCAAAGGAACCTCGAGCTCTAGTGACACGATCCCTGGGTTGACAGTCCCACAGGTAGTGTAGCTCACAAGATGAGAAAGAAGTAGCAGCCACACGCTGGTCCCATCACCAAGAGAAAGAGCCAGGGCTTGCTGAGCCATTTATCTCTGCCCTCCAATCAAACTGCGACCGTATTAATCCCACATGTCCCTATTAGCCAACTTGACACCTGTACACAATTCTTTAGCCATATATAATTTTCAGACACTAATGAAATCACACACCTAACACCAAACATCTATCATACATATAAGTGAAAACACACTGAATCTAATTGTATCTGGTACATCATACATGAACAAAGGAAAGATTCAATAAGCACATATAAAGAAGATAAACTGACAATCACAAAACTCTCTTTTGCAATTGATCACGTGGTTGTAACTAATAGAACTACCTTCTACCATCCATTCTGTATTCCCTTTGCCCTTGGCAAGCACCTCAGCTGGCCATGGTTCTTTGCCTGGTGGAGTGACTTAGACCTTCATTCCTGAGGGTTCTGGGTCATTAGACATCATGTCAGGATTGGGTTGCTGTACCTTACCATTTACTTTAATCACAGGACATGGTAGCACTAAGAGTCGGCCTATGGGATCTCCTGGATTCCAAAAATATTCTTCTTTACCTCCATTAGGTAGCACCAGTCCAATTTCTCCTTGGTAATCAGGATCAACCACACCACTCAGTACAGTGACACCCTTCCTGATCCAAAGGCATGAGAACCCCAAAGTGGCCAGGGGGCATTCTCAGCTGCCAGTTCAGTGGAATCCGGGCTGTGTTTCCAGGTGGGAGAGTTCTTTCCTTCTGGACCAGGACCTCCAGGCCTGAAGCACATAGGGTTGCTGGGACAGGAA